CCTTCAGGCTCCACCCACCTGGCATGTGAAACGATTGTATTTGCTGCCTCTCTGACGTTCCTTCCCTCTGCATGTAAAATACTTGCCTTTCAGTATTTGGATTAGTGGTGTATATGCTTCTGAGCCTTGTAATAAATCATTATTAGCATTGTTCTAGGTTACTTTTTTTCACGTAGTATTTTATTGGCTGCAAAGTATTCCATCATCTAAATGTGTCATCATTTTTTAATTAGTCCCAACTATCAAACCCTTAGGTCTGTTCTGATTTTTCATTATTGTAACTAACCTGTGACATACATATGAAAAATGTTATAGACATTTTCTGGCAAATTCCTAAGGATAAATTCCTTTTTTTTTTTTTTTTTAAGTTTATTTATTTTGAGAGAGAGAGAGGGACAGGGAGGGTCAGAGAGAAAGAGGCATAGGGAGAGAATCCCAAGCAGGCTCCACACTGTCAGTGCAGAGCCTGATGTGGGACTCAGACTCAAGAACCATGAGACCATGACCTCAGCCTAAATCAAGAGTTGGACGCTTAACCAACTGAGCTACCCAGGTGCCCCTCCTAAGGATAAATTCTTAACAAGGAGAATGTTTAGGTCAAAAGGTATGAATGACCTTTTGATAGGCATTGCCAAACCAAGTCACACCTCTCTCAATGATTATTAAGGACTTTTAATCTTCCTTGTCCTTACTAATATCAGGCTTTGTCATTTAAAAAAAGGAAAGAAAGAATGCCTTTACCAATCTGAAGGATAGTAAGTGGTAGAAAATATTTAATATTTTCTGTTTTAATAAGTACAATATATGGAACATAATGGAGTCTTGACAAAGCTAAGTAGTGATTCTGTGTACTGCTCTATAGAGGTGACCTGATGACCTTTAGGATAAAGGTCATACTTGAAGAAAGCTTCGTGCCTCAGAACAAACCTTGAGTTTACGAGTTTGAAGTGAGGAGGCTTGGATTCTGGGTCTAGCCAGCCTTCTTCCCCTAGGCTAGTGTTATATTCTCAGTAATTTACTTCAAATACCTCAGAGGAGCCAGTAGGATGCTTATCTGTGTGCAAGTTGACTTGAGTCTGTGCCCTGAGGATCCTCCCTCTAGAGGCCATTATTGCCAAGCAGTTCAAATATGGCCACCTAAATCAGCACCAGAGAGTTAGTTGATTAATTAGTATGATGAATGTCGGAAATAATTTTTTGCTGATGAAATGAGTAACAAGCAAGATATGAGGCTGACAAGTAAGATCGTACAAGTGTCTCTGACTTTTTTTAGTATATGTGCTGCTGAAGCGAGCACTGTCTCTGACTTTTTTAATGTTTTGCCATCGTGGCACCTGGGTGGCTCAGTCGGTTGGGCATCCAACTTTGGCTCAGGTCATGATCTCGCAGTTTGTGAGTGTGAGCCCCGTGTCAGGCTCTGTGCTAACAGCTCAGAGCCTGGAGCCTCCTTCAGATTCTGTGTCTCCCCCATCTTTCTGCCCCTCTCCTGCTGGTGCTCTGTCTCTCTCTGTCTCTCAATAATAAATAAAACCATTAAAAAAATAAAAGAAGTTATTTAAAAAAAAGAAGAAGAAGTAAGCTTGGTCATATAACATGGCTGGAGTAGTGACCGTTCTAAAACCCCATCTGTTCCCGAATCGTCCACTAACTAAGGATTTGGTTGTGTGATCTGGCTAGAAGTGTAGCTGATTATGTCATTGTAACATGGGTATCCTTGTAGCAGAGAGAAACGTTCCGGCAAAGGTTCCCGCCCAGGCCCCACTCAGCATCCCCAGTGGTCGGCGAGGAAGGGACTGCACTGAGCTTCCAGAAACGTAGTTTGGACTCTTGTACCCTCTTGGTGATGTGGCAGAATTCAATTTGAGACTCAATTTCATTGTAACATACCTCCTGGTGGTACGGTCACAGAGAGGGACAATCCACGACTTCTTCTTCTTCTTCTTCTTTTTTAATGTTCATTTATTTTTGAGAGAGAGAGAGAGTGTGAGCAGTGGAGGGGCAGAGAGAGAGGGAGACACAGAATCCGAAGCAGGCTCCAGGCCCTGAGCCGTCAGCACAGAGGGTGACGCAGGGCTCGAACCCATGAACTGTGAGATCATGACCTGACCCAAAGTCAGACACCTAACGACTGAGCCACGCAGGCGCCCCAGCTTACCACTTCTAACTTAACCTCTTGGAAACTTTTGCTCATCTGTAGGAGTTGCAAGAGGTGCCCTAAATTATTTCTGACCCCCCAATTAGTTCTCAAAGTTCTAGAACATGTGGTATAAAAAAAAACCAGCATTAGATTCAGATTGCATAGCATCTTCATTCAATAGAAAGGAATATTTGCAATATTTAATATTAATTGTAATGATATCTAGTAGAAAGAGGATAAAAAAGGAAATAGAAGTGCAGAGAGATTAAACAGCAAAGTTCTGTCTCCCTCCAGAATTCATGCTCTTTCTACTGATACCCCTCTGTATCAGAATCAAGAACGGATCCTATAACTGAGAACTCTGTTATGGACTGAATTGTGTCCCCCTCAAATTCCTAAGTTAAAGCCCTAATCCTCAGGTTGACTGTATTTGGTGATAGGGCCTTTGAGTAAGTAATTAAAATTACATGAGGTCATAAAGATGGGGCCCTAATCCAATATGACCAGTGTCCTGATAACAAGAGACAGAGACACTGAGGAGCCACATGCACAGAGGAAAGGCCATGTGAGGCCACAGCAAGAAGGCGGCCATCAGTAAGCCAAGGAGAAAGGCCTCAGAGATGCCAAACCTGTTGACAGTTTGATCTTGAACTTCCAGCCTCCAGAACTGGGAAGAAGCCCTAGCGACTAATATACCCTGCCTCTGTGGAGATGGGGTAGAAAAAGTTTTAAGAGGACAATTTTGGTGTGACTCATGCTTAGAAAAATCAAAAGTGGCAGATTAAGGGATTTTCTTTTCTTTTTTGTTTTTAAATCTTTCTTTCTTTCTTTTAGAGAGAGAGAATGTGTGTGTGTGCACACAAGGTGGGGGTGGGGGGGTGGGCAGAGGATCCAAAGAGGGCTCTGTGCTGACAGCTGAGAGCCCATTGTGGGGCTAGAGCTCACAAACATTGAGATCATGACCTGAGCTGAAGTCTGACGCTTAACCAGCTGAGCTATCCAGGTGCCCCAGGTTAAGGGATTTTTCTGAAACGAATCCACTGCCGCATAGAGTTTTGTAATGTACACAGTCTTACCCCCTCATCTGTAGCAACCAGCACAACATCTAAATGAACCATAACCCTTGAAAGGACCTACCTTCTGCTGTCAGAGTGCTAGATAAGATGGTATAACTCATCTCCATGTCCCTGAGAGCTCAGCTATCTTTGAGATATCAGGGAAGGGGAGGTAGGGAGGAGACAAGCCTCAGGAGATGATAGAACACAGGGAGGCAGCTCTAGAAGGAAAGGAAAGCTGGCTGAAGCCCAGGCCTGCAGGCAACGGGGAAAGGAGTGAAATGGTCTGGCAGTTCAAAGGCTGGGGTGGGGGTGAGGGTTCCAGAACAATGAAGAAGGGCCAAAGAACTGGTAGGGACCAGAGCAGTGGGCCAAAGAGGTGCACCAAGACCTGTAAGGCCCCTAGGGAGCAATGGGTGGGTAGGGATAGGGGAGAGGAAATAAATAAAGGGAGGCCATAACAGGCTTTACCTGCTTTAACAGTTTTCCCTTGGGCAGTGTCTTTTAACCTTACACGGTGATGCTAGTGAGAGAAGAAGGCAAGCAGTTTCCCTGCCCTGTCTCCTAACCCATCTCTTCCCTCGAAGCCCTCATCAAAGTGTAGAAAGGATCTGGTTTGTTTGGTGGAAGTGTTAGCATCTCAGTTAACTACTGAAGTTAGTAGTTGACAGGTTGAAAAATGTGAGATAAATTTAGTAAGCTTTGTGGGCCTCCTTATTATGGCCGGGAGTTGACACTGCCATGAAATCAACATAGAACTTACATGCAGTTGATAACCAGGGAGATGAGGTTTGCTTCAAATAAACCACCATGCTCAGAGAAGACAAATGGACTATCAGCAGATCCGTTACCAAGAACTGTCCTGTGTAATGACACTTACATGCATCAAACAAAGCACAATGGTGCTTTCCCCGGCCCTGGCCGTGTAACTGTCCTTCTCTAGAGAAAAGTATCCACTCATCTTGTCTGCCTTGTAAACAGGAAGGGAGGCAGAGAGTGGAGCAATTATTTTGGAACTGGCTTCCCAAGTTAGAGAATTTCTGCTCTCAGAGATCCTCAAAAGACAGATAGCCACCTGGGTCTGCGTGTTTTTAACATCAACTGACTTGATAGATTAAAAAAATTTTTTTTTAATGTTTATTTTTGAGAATGAAACAGAGCATGAGGGGGTAGGGGCAGAGAAAGAAGAAAACACAGACTCTGAAGCAGGCTCCCGGCTCTAAGCAGTCAGCACAAAGCCCAACGTGTAACTCGAACTCACAAACTGTGAGATCGTGACCTGAGCTGAAGTTGGATGCTTAACAGACTAAACCACCCGGGTGCCCCAAGTTGATAGATTTAAAAAAAGGTTTTTTTTTTTAATCCTTTATTTTTGAGAGACAGACAGTGAGACAGAGTGCGATCAGGGGAGGAACAGAGAGAGAGGGAGACAGAGAATCTGAAGCAGGCTTCAGGCTCTGAGCTGTCAGCACAGAGCCTGATGCGGGGCTCGAACTAATGAACCGCTAGTTCATAACCTGAGCCAAGTCAGACGCTCAACTGACTGAGCCACCCAGGTGCCCCCTGACTTGATAGATTTTTAAGATCCCTTCTAGCACTTCGATTTTGTCACCCTGATCTCTAAGGGAAATGTTAGATGCACTGATCTCATTTCTAATTCAATGTGATGCCAGATTGCAAAGTTATAGCTAATGTTGGACACACAGCCTTATGTGCATACTGCAGCAATTTTTCAAAATCCCAGACCAAAATGTAGCTGTTGGTATTGAGATCAGCTTTAATTTCTATCCCCTTCTATCCAATCACAGGTAATCTTTAGATGGTGGAAGATCTCTCTGAGGAGTGAGTATCGATCAACAAAGCCTGGAGAAGCAAAAGACACTCACGAAGAGTTCTTAGAGAACTCACATCTTCAAGGTAAGAAAGGGAACACATTGTATACTTATGTCTCAGTTCTCTTTACAATCAGTGGTAGATTCTGTTGCAGAATTATCCAACATGTCATCATTTGAACTATTGATATGTAATCATGTACTTAAAGACAGAAATTGTTAACATACCCTGAAATTTCTCTTGGGAAAAATCTCCCAAGTGTTTAAGGTTCTAGGTTAACGTGTTCATTTCATTAATAATCTTAAATCCTAATGTAATTTTTTGCTGTAACATTTAATTATAATAAGTTTCCTTTAGTTAAAAATGAATTAACAGCTTATTTGAAAACATAATCAAATTCTCAAATCCTTGAACTCTTAGGCATTTTGGCAGTCATTTAAAATTGTTACCATTTATTTTAATATCAAAGTTTGCTTCAGAAATAGCCTTGGGGTGCCTGGGTGGCTCAATCAGTTGAGTGCCCAAGTTCAACTCAGGTGATGATCTCACAGTTTGTGAATTTGAGCCCTGCATTGGGCTCACTGCTGTCAGCACAGAGCCTGCTTCGGATCCTCTGTCTCCCTCTCTCTCTCTGCACCCCTCCCCCCAATAAATAAACATTAAGAAAAAAAAAAAAAGTAGCCTTAATCAGGTAGCATGTGGACTAAATAGAAATTGCCCTGAGTTTTCTCTTTGCCTTTTGGCTTTTCACAGTATGAAAATTTCAGATACAAATCAAACAGTGGTGTTTTAACAAACTGTCATGTACCTGTAACCTGACTTCAATAACACACAAAATATAGCCAATGCCTCTATGCAAAGCTACTGTGCTTATAGCAAATCTCAGCTGTTATATCATTTCATCCCAAGCTACTTCAGTATGTGTCTTTAAAAAGGATTCCCTTTAACTAAACTCCCTAATAATTATTCACGTTAATTATAAACATTTAAAGCCAGAAGGCATTATAGAGATTTTTATTTTATTAGGAGTTAATATCAAGGACTTTTACATATGCCTTCTCATTTTATTGTTACAATATCCTTGTGAAATCACGAGTTTTATCCCCGTTTCACAAAAGAGATTCAGCATGCATATGATTTTCCAGGGTTCCACTGCTAACCTCAGACGTGGCCAGGACTAAGCACTGAGAGCCAAAAAGTCAGTTATATTAATCTTATTTTTAAAGACACATTCTGGGTGGATCTTTGATAATCAACCCTCTTAAAGATATTCTGTTATTTAAATTATAGCATGTAATAGTTGGGGTTTTTTTAGACAGAGAGTAGATTTTGTTGTTTCCTTAAACCTTTGAAAGTCTTGATTGATTATGAGCGGGGAAGGGGCAGACAGAGAGGGAGACAAAACCCGAAGCAGGCTCCAGGCTCTGAGCTGTCAGCACAGAGCCCTACTTGGGGCGGGAACCCACAAGCCAAGAGATCGTGACCTGAGCCAAAGTCAGATGCCCAACTGACTGAGCCACCCAGGTGCCCCTCTCAAGATCTTTAACACATCTGCAAAGGCTCTTTTGCCATGTAAGGTCACATATTCACAGCTTCTGGAGATTAGGATACAGAGCATCTTTGGCAGGGCCATTATGCTGCCTACCACAGTGATATGTGTCATGATCTAAATTGCAAAATAAACATTGCTGAATTTCCCCCTCCCCCAGATTTGCATTTATTTTTTATTTTTTAAAGTAGTCTTCATATCCAACAGGGGGCTAGAACTCATGACCCTAGGATCGAGAGTCAGTGTTGCACCAACTGAGCCAGCCAGGCACTCCTAGATTTCCATTTTAAAAGAGAAACTTCACAAGTTTATTTTTTACAAAGTCATTCATGAGGGCGCCTGGGTAATTCAGTTGGTTGATCATCCAACTCTTGATTTCGGCTCAGGTCATGATCCCAGGGTCATGGGATCGAGCCCCTCGTCCAATTCCGTGCTGAGCTTGGAGCCTGCTTAAGATTTTTCTCTCCCTCCACCCTCCCTGCCACCTCATTCAGGCGTCCCTGATTTCTTCTCTTTGGATATCAGTTTCCTCAACTGTTGATAATGGAAATAATAAAAGCATTTTGCACATAGGGTCCTTATGAGGAGTAACTGAATGAAGTACTTAGAATTTGCCTAACACATACCAGCTACCTTTTATAGTATTTAAATTTTTTTAATGTTTTATTTATTTCTGAGAGAGAGACAGTGTGAGCAGGGGAAGGGCAGAGAGAGAGGGAGACACAGAATCTGAAGTAGGCCCCAGGCTCTGAGCTGTCAGCACAGAGCCCGATGCGGGGCTCAAACCCACGAACCGTGAGATCATGACCTGAACAGAAGTCGGATGCTCAACCGACTGAGCCCCCCAGGCGCCCCTAGTTTTTAAAATTTGAAAAGTGAAAATTCCTTCTCTCTTCCTCCAACCTCTGTTCCCCAGAGATAACTACCGTAAATAACTTACTTTGTATTTGAATTCTTTCTGCTTGGGATTGTGTGTGTGTTTGTTTACAGAAATACAGTCTTTCATTGTTTAATTTGTTTTTGCATTTACTATCTTGTGAACATTTTTCCGTTAGCATACGTAAAGAAGTGCCTTGTCCTTTTCCAAGGCTGTATGGTATTTCATTGTAGAAATATACAATCCTCAATTGGTGGGCATTTTCAAAAGATTTTGGGCACATTCTGAGGCATGTTTATTTTTGCACACTTACATAAGAACTCCTGGAATGGCTAGGACCAAAGAAATGTGCATTATAATTTTGAATAGAGTATTTTGAGTATTAAAAAATATTTTTTTAAATGTGTATTTATTTTTGAGAGAGACAGGGACAGAGACAGACCATTGAGTGGAGGAGGGGCAGAGAGAGAGGGAGACACAGAATCCAAAGCCGCCAAGCTGACAGCAGAGAGCTTAACGAGGGGCTTGAACCCACAAATTGTGAGATCATGACCTGAGCGGAAGTTGGACGGTTAATCAACTGAGCCTCCCAGGCACCCTAGGGTATTTTTTTATTATTATTATTGAATCTAGAGTTCAAGGCTAACTTGACCAAGGATGGTACTTCTTTTTTTTTTTTTAATGTCTTATTTATTTCTGAAAGAGAGAGAGAGAGAGACAGCATGAGCAGGGGAGGGTCAGAGAGAGAGGGAGACACAGAATCTGAAACAGGCTCAAAGCTCTGAGCTGGCTGTCAGCACAGAGCCCGACATGGGGCTCGAACCCACGAACCGTGAGATGACCTGAGCCAAATACCAGCCGACTGAGCCACCCAGGCGCCCCCAAGGATGGTACTTCTATTAACTAGCTTGAGTGGCACTGGTATAGGATACAGCACAAATGCCATCGATAATTTATTTGACCTTTATAATTATGCGAGTTTGGAAAGCATTTTAAATTGGGTGATTGCATTACTTCAATTTTTATTCATAAAATGAGACTTCATTAATATTTTTATGTCACCATATTTTAATTTTGAGTAATTCAAAGCTTGAGTAATTCGCAATGCCAATTACTTCACAAGAAAAAACCTGTTCTCCAGAAAACTGCTGTATTAATTATACTTCATCCAACAGGATATGGGTTTCTTGCACCTTCGCCATTGCTAATTAGATATTACTATTCTTTTTCATCTTTTGCAGTCAGATGGTGAAAATAGTGTCATATTTAATTAGCATTTTCCTGATAACTAGCAAGTTGAGCATCCTGTCATGTTTAATTACCATTTATATCCTTTCTGTAATTTCCCTATCTGTATTCTTTGTCCACTCGTCTATGAAGTTAGAATTTTATTCTGCCTGAGACCTTAAAAAATCAGAAGAAACATCTTTGGATTTTTTCCCCCTAAGTTACATAAATAGGAATAACCAGAAAATTAGCCATTGGAAATAGTTTTAAAAATTGAGTTTAAGGCAAAACTCTGCCTATATAGACTCTGCTCAAAGTGCTAATTCATGGGTTGGGGTTGAATCCAACCTAAAAATAAGTTGTTTTCCAACTTATGTCCCTTTTAAAGTTGGTTGCTTTGATCTTTGAATGAGTTATAAGTAGTGGTTAAGTATTTAGGCCAATCCACAAAAATCCCTGTGATAAAACCAAATGGCTTCAACAGCCATATCTTCAGAACCAAACGACAAAGGTTTCTGCTTCTGCTGTTGCTTATTTAAGGAAACGTGGGTGAGATAGTGTAGATGTCAAAGAATGGAAATTCTCTTGGACATTTAGATGATTCGTGAGGAAAACAGGACAGCACGTTTGAAATGAGGACTATAATGGAAAATTGTGTTTTATTTTTTTATCAACTACTTTTTTGAGATTACATACACATAGCAAAGCAAAAATTAAATCAGTTTTAAAAGATTTTTAGAATAGGGGCACCTGGGTGGCTCAACTGGTTGAGTGTCCGACTTGATTTCAGTTCAGGTCATGGATCTCTGTTCACGCGCTTGAGCTCCGTATCGGGCTCCACTCTGACAATGCTAACCTACTTGGGATTCCCTCTCTCTGCCTTTCTCTGTGTCTCTCTCAATAACATAAAGTTTAAAAAAAAGGATTTTAGAATAAAAGTAAGTCTCCCTCTGACCTCACGTTCCCAGTTCCTGTGACAACCATCATTAACAGTTTCTTGAATATCCTTCCAGAAATGGTCTATGCATATATGCAAAATATGTTAACACAGAAAGAAGAATCTTATACACTGCGTTCTATACCTTGCCCTTTGAAAGCTTTAAAATTCAGAAATGTCTTAAACCTAAAAAACAGAAGATAATATTATACCCAACACCACTAACAAAAGATGTTAGCATTTGTCACATTTACTTCATTTTTATCCAAATTATCAAATATGTTGGTGTATCTTGCTCATAATCTCCTCTTCTTTCAATGGCTATAGTATCTGCAGTGTTGTTCTAGTTTTCATCCCTTGATATGATAATTTGTGCTTCTTTCCTTTTTTTGTGGCCCTTTGTTAGGGATTTATTTGTTTGATAATTTTTTTCAAAGACCTTTTAGCTCTGTTAATTTTCTATTTATTTATTTACTATTGATTTCTGTTCTTAC